CTCAGGCAGCATAGCGTGACCGATCCGCTCATGCCCTTGCGGATGACGCCCTCCGCCGCGGAGCTGTCCACGACGATGGTGACGTCTGCGCCTTCCAGATGGCGGCCCCGCGTCCGAAAAACAAGCCAGACCCAGAGGGTTTCGGCCTCGTTGATGCGCTGCTCCCGCCCGGGGGGCAGGAAGCGCTCGAGGGCCGAGTCCACGGGCGCGACGAAGAACTCGGCGACTGGCTGCCGCGCGTCCAGGAAGATGGCCCCCAACGCCTCAGTGCCGTACGGCTCGCCGCGGCCTCTGGCGTCTCCGATCAGAACGCAGCGCGGGCGCGATCGAGGCCGGCGCAGCACCGGCCTGGAAAACTCCCCGGGCCCCGGCGCGCTGAGCATCTCGCGCAGGCCGTCGACGGACATCCGGAAACGGCGATCCGTCCGCGACGTCGACCCGTGGGCTTGGTCGTAGATAGCCTGGAGGAAGATGCCACCTGCCTTGCCCCACACCAAGGAGAAGGCCCAAGTGAAGCGCCCCCCCAGCTTGGGCGCCGCGCCCGGGGTGCACTTGTCTCGCGCCTGCGACAACTCGGTCGCGTACGCGGTGGCCTTCCGTGAGGGGATCGACCACTCCACGAGAACGTCGTCCGCCATGCCGCGCGGCGGTGGCAGGTGGAAGGCGGCCCCCAGAAGCACGCCGCCGCGCCTCGGCTCGAAGAACTTGTCCTCCTGGTCCCCGACCCCAGCGACCTCGAAGCCAAAGAGCTCGTGCAGGTCGCACAGCAGCCGGAATTCGCCAGCGGCTAGGCTCTGGGGGGCGCACCCGACCACGTCGTCTACGTGGTGGTCGCAAAGCAGCCCGAAGAAACGGCGGGCCACCGTCACGACTGCCCGCGGCATACGCGAACACTGCTGTGGCTGGGCGCGGCCGCCGAATGTCATACAATTGGGAATGACTGCGACCAGATCGCCCTTGTCCGTGTCGAGCACGAAGGAGACGAAGAACCGGCGATGCTCGGGAAGCAAGCCCGCCTGGTGGAACATCTTCTTCCAGTCAACTTTGGCCAAGTTGAGCTGCTCCTGCGGATGGACGCTCGCGCCTGCCCGGGCCAACGCGGTGACGCCGTCGATGCCCATCATGTGCATCTTCTCGTTCAACTGGGTGGAAGCAGCCACGCCAGAAGCGCGAGATCCTTGGCAGCCGCGGACTTTGCTGTCCTGCTCGACGCCGAAGTATAGCTGGTCGACGAAATCACCCAGCTGACACCGGACTCGGCGCACCAGGTCTGAGAGCCCAGAGCCCCAGACAACCTCGAAGCGCCCGCGCGCGGCTTGCGCGGCGACCGCCGACCACAGCTCGCCCTGGTGCGCAGTTGCCAGGGAGACGCGGCCAGCGCCTTGACGCTCTCTGGCTGCCTGCAAGAGGTCGCTGAGCTCGACGGCGGGCTGCTCCGCGCGCGGCGACCAGGTGCCGCTCGGGGGGATGCGCCCGATCGCCGGGGACCCGCCGTGCAGGTCATCGACAAAGCCGGCGTCGTCGTGGCGGGCCGCTCTCAAGGCGGCCTTGGGGGGCGGACCCTGCAGGTGGCCGCAGACCTGCCTGACGCTCGCGGGCATGCTGCTTGCCCACTGCGCCTGATCGCCGGTGGCCTGGAAGTGCTGTTTCCAGCTGGCGAGCTTGCGCCACTGCTGCTGCTGCAAATCAGACAAGCCCGCGCCAAGCTTGGCCCTGAGCGACATAGCATCGCAGAGCGATTGCTTCCAATTGCGGCCTGGCTCCGGGAGCGCGAAGGGCGCTGACTGAGCCCACGCCAACGTCGCCTGCTGGCTCGGCAGGCGGAGCGGCGGCAGCGGGCCCTGGCGTCTTCCCAGCCGCCGCGGGGCGGGCCCCGGCCGCTAGCGGGGGCCCCCCGGCAGCTGGGCACCCCTAGTACTCGCGCTTGACCGGCGCGAGCCCGCGGCTGCGGGAGCGGGAGCGCCTGCGCTCCGCCCGCCCTCCGTCGGCCCGGTCCTCAGCACCGCGTCCGCGCGACCACGGGTGCCCGCCTTTGGTTGCGCCCTTGCCGCCGGCGCGCTCCTCGAGGGCACGTTTGTCCCTGGTCTTGATCAGCTCCAGGCCGAGCGGCTTGATGTGGTTCGCTAGGCAGCCCTCCTGCGTCTTGGCGCAGAACGGGCATTCGTGGTGGAAGACGCACGTCTTGCCGCGATCGTGCATGTCGCACTTGCTGGAGAAATGCCTGAAGCAGAAGTGCACGGCATCCGGCTTCCGCTGGGCCCTCGTGCTCGCGCCCGGGGCGTGGAGCTTGACATCCTTCGCTTCCTCCTTTGCCTGCGTGACCAAGCCCTGCTTGTCACCGGACATAGTTGTTGCAAAGGCCGCCGGGTCGGCCTTGCGCTTGGCTGCAGCCCAAGCGGTGCTCCTGACCAGCTGGTCGTAGGCGAGGGCGTTCTTCTCAGCCTGCGAAGCCGGGCTGGCAGTGTCCGCCGCCAGCCGCGCGACCTTGTCGATGTGATTC